CCATGTCAGGAGGGGAACAGATTGAGCCTCCCACCTGATATTTCACATCCGTAACACATCCTTTGTCCCTCCAGTCCATGGAGTCAGGCACTTTGCTGCCAGGCCGTGGCCTGTAGGTGGAATTCCGGTCAGGTCGGTGGGGAATTTTCACTCCAGTTAACAAAGCAGCCACTTCCTCGCTGGTCTAGTTAAAAGAACACACACACCCCTTCAGACTGACGTCCCCTTCGATGTACAGACTGGCCCCGAACACCGGGGACATTCGGATACAAACTCTGCGGCTCAGGTTCAACTCTTGTTCATTGATACAGTGTTTTCCTTTATGCAGTGAAAACTATGAGCACGCCTAAATGCTGGGGATCAGCCTGGCTGTAGCTTTGTTTGCTGGGAACTCTGGATTCTGTGATTCTTCACATGCTAATCCTCCTCTCCCAGTACATTGCTGGGGATAGAACCCAGGACTAGCGCTGTCGGAAAGTTTTCGGGGGGGGCGGGGGGGGCGCTGAAAAATACATATTTGGGTTGACTGAAACATTGTGTGAATTCACCTTGAATTTGCAAAATTATTTCAGCAGGGGAAAAAAATTCAAAACTAGTCAAAATGTTTGGATTCAAAATGACTTTTTAGTTCAAATTTTACTTCGATTTTATTTATTTATTTTATAAAAGAGGTAAAACAATCTAGAAAACTAAACAAAACGTGTTGTCCGACCCTAAATGAATTGTTTTAATCTTTTTTTCATTTCATCATTGCTATTTCAGGTCCATCTGAAACTAACTTTTGATTGATTGATTGATTTTTCAGCCCCCAAACCAAAAAAATCTCTTATTCACAAAGCTCTACCCAGGAGCATCAGCATTGCCAAGACTCTTGATTTTATTGAGAGTGTCACAATATCTGATGTTTTCCTTAAAGCACCAATGTGGGGGGGTCGTGAGATTGCACAAGAATTTCAGCTTTTTTTTTTTAAAGTTTCCATCTCTTGTATAGCTGTGGAGAACTGCAGGAAAACATCTCTCTTAAAAGGCAAAACCCAGAGGCAAATAAAAAGAGCCCCCAAACTTAGACTTTTTTTAAATCCCAGGATTTTTAAGCCCCCCATGATTTTAGGCGCCTGACTCCTAAATTCTGAATGCTTGGCGTTGGCAGTAACGGGATCTGGAGCACAAGCCCCTGCAATTTCAGTTAAAGGATCAAATTCTTTAACCAGCAACAACCTAGCAGACAGTTTATGTGTTATTCCACACGTGACATTTCTCATGGGGATAAGGGAGGGTGGCAGACACAGTAAGGTAGAGAAGCAGGAACCTACGGGAATGAGAGTCCCACACTTTTGACCTCACATGTACTGTATGTGGAAGATCACGCTGCTTGGAGGATGCCATTTGATACAGAAACATGCTGGGGGGGAGGGGGTCACCCCAGCAGTGGGCTAGCAGGGGGTGGAGCACCTGCACTTAAAAAAATCAGGACTACCCCCCGATGGCAGATTTCCCACACACATCCCTGACCCAAACAAGTAGAACAGAGATTTGCACAGCTCTCGGGAGTGGTGGGCAGGTTGCTGCTGGAGGACGCAGAAGTGTGCTGTGGATTGTGGGCCTACCTCTGCAGGGCTCATACTGACCCTGGATTGGCTGGAGCTTATTCTGCCCCTGATTCAGTTACATTCTCTGGCCACGGCAGCCCCAGGGAAATACTGATAATTCCCAGATGCCCAGTCACTTGGTCTGTAGCAATATTTTTTTTTAAACTTACCATGTCTGCCAGGTGGTTCATGCCCAGGTCATAGGAATGCAGCCCCAGTGAGTGCTCGAGGTTATGCAGCATAACGAGCTTGAGGTTCTTTTCCCAGGTCATGCGCCGTTCCCCTTCCTCTTTCTGGAACCAAAGCACAGCCCCCACGTTACTATGCAGTAGCCCAGAGGAAACCATCTCCAGTATAAATAGGTTATAGTTCTACAGCACTTTTTTATCCCTCAGGAACCCACAGTATTCTTGCCAGCAAGTTAAAGAAGTATGGGCTGGATGAATGGATTATAAGGTGGATAGAAAGCTGGCTAGATCGTCGGGCTCAACGGGTAGTGATTAATGGCTCTATATCTAGTTGGCAGCTGGTATCAAGCAGAGTTCTCCAAGGGTCGGTCCTGGGGCCGGTTTTGTTCAATATCTTCATTAATGATCTGGAGGATGGCGTGGACTACACCCTCAGCAAGTTTGCAGATGACACTAAACTGGGAAGAGTGGTAGATACGCTGGAAGGCAGGGATAGGATACAGAGAGATCTAGACAAATTAGAGGATTGGGCCAAAAGAAATCTGATGAGGTTCAACAAGGACAAGTGCAGAGTCCTAAATTTAGGACGGAAGAATCCCATGCACTGCTACAGACTAGGGACCGAATCGCTAGGAAGCAGTTCTGCAGAAAAGGACCTGGGGGTTACAGTGGACGAGAAGCTGGATATGAGTCAACAGTGTGCCCTTGTTGCCAAGAAGGCTAACGGCATTTTGGGCTGTATAAGTAGGGGCATTGCCAGCAGATCAAGGGATGTGATCATTTTCCTCTATTCGACATTCATGAGGCCTCATCTGGAGTACTGTGTCCAGTTTTGGGCCCCAAACTACAAGAAGGATGTGGAAAAATTGGAAAGAGTTTCGTGAACAATGTCACCTGGCTCTAATATATCCCAAACAAAACGCGCTTTAAAAAATCAGCTAACCCCCTGGGATGGTTTAGGCAAGGTGGAGGATACATACAGGGCCCAATGTTCATTAAAACTGAATACACTTCTGAAAGCAGAGAGCGCTTTGCAATCTCCAGGAGAAGAGCAGGAGGCAGCATTCTCAGTGAGAGCTGGCATAGGACTGGCATGCTAAGATCCCGGATACCTGCTGACCTGAGGGGAGATGGTGACGGAAATCCCCCTCCCCCACTTTAAGCCCACAGCTGCACAGAGCCCACCTTGTGGCTGTATTGCTTGCCATAG